CTAAATATTTTCTTCTATGTAGAGACAGTTAAAGATGAAATTAGACTTGGAAGTCACTTATTAACCATTCATCTGTTTTAGTAAGACACTGTGAGACCAGTTTATCTGAAAAGTTGCAGCTAGTGTTAACAATATTAAGCTGAAATGGAATGGATACTGTGCATAAGTGTAATTTTCAGACCTGCCACATCCCTTCAGAAGCTACTCATCCTTCTATATCTTTTTCAAACAGTTTTTTTAGGTCCAAATAAATTTTATCCTTTTTGTGAAAATGATTTTTATAAGGCCTTCCTTTAAGGGATGTTCTAGAAGAATGAATGGAGAGAAAATGGATGCTTTTGCCTAAAAACAGTTCTTTCGAATATCCTCCCTGTTTTAATGACACTTTTGGGAAAATAACCCCTTTCCTTAATACTCAGTAGAATATAGCTCTTGAGAGCAGCCAGTTTTTCCTTGAATGATTCAGGCCTTTGTGAGGGAATACGTGTCTTCTTCCTTTGGTGGGAACTTCATATTTTTTTAGCTGTACATTCATTCGTCTGACAAATACTTATTGAGTATCTGCCATTGGTGAGGAACTTTTCTCAGCACTAGGGACACAACCGTGAACAAAGCAGACAAATCCTTGCCTTTGTGATGCTTTCTTTTCAGTATAGGCACGCATACAACACACAAATAAATAAGTAAAGATATGTAGAATGCCCTTTGGTGGTGAGCACCTATGAGAAAAATAAAGCAGAAAAGGGAGGCTGACCATGAGTCGGGGGAGAGGTTGTAATTCCAAATAGGGTAGTCAGTAAAGACCTTGTTGAGAAGATGACATTTGAGTAAAGACCTGAAGAGTGAGCAAGTTGGCCCTGCAGATAATCTGGAGGAAGAGCATCCCAGGGAGAGGGAACAGCAAGTCCAAAGGACCCGAGCTGATTTTGCTGATTCTGTGAGCATCGGAAAAACTGCAAACTGGAATCCACCACTGCTACCAGTCCCTTCTTCCTCCTCCAGCCTTGCAGTCTCCTTCTAGCCCTACTTTAGGCAGAGTCTAGCGGGGAGCAGCTGGCAAAGAAGAAACGTGGTTTGCAGAGTCCCATTCCCAGTATCACATATCAGGGTGTAGAAGAATGGCACTGGAGCTGAGAGACAATAGTTTAACACCTGGCACACCTACTTTCTGTATCGGAAGGCTGATGTTCGAAAGGTCAGTGCTCACATCACGTGGCTAAGAAGTATGGAACCTAGGCTTGAATGAGAATGAGAATTCCACACCATGTCTGTAATCTTTCTTCCAAGTCATGAGAACACTCCAAACTAAAAAGTCACTTGACTTCCAGCCCTTTCAAAGGTCATAAGGGGGCTGAAACCAGGTGACCAGTGAGTGGTCAGGAGCCAGGAGTAGACAAGACATGGAAACCACCTCTTTCTTGCCCTAACCTCCCTTTCCAGGCTTGCTTCCCAAAATTGCTTTATGCCTTTTTAAATTTTTTATTTTTTTTTTTTATTTTTTAAAGATTTTATTTTATTTCCTTTTTTCTCCCCAAAGCCCCCAGTACATAGTTGTATATTCTTTGTTGTGGGTCCTTCTAGTTGTGGTATGTGGGACGCTGCCTCAGCGTGGTTTGATGAGCAGTGCCATGTCCGCAGTGCCATGTCCGCGCCCAGGATTCGAACCAACGAAACACTGGGTCGCCTGCAGCGGAGTGCGCGAACTTAACCACTCGGCCACGGGGCCAGCCCCAATTTTTTATTTTTTTGAGGAAGATTAGCCCTGAGCTAACTGCTGTCAATCTTCCTCTGTTTGCAGAGGAAGACTGGCCCTGAGCTAACATCCGTGCCCATCTTCCTCTACTTTATATATGGGATGCCTACTACAGCATGGCTTGCCAACTGGTGCCATGTCTGCACCCCGGATCTGAACCGGCGAACCCCTGGCTGCCGAAGCCGATCCTGCGAACTTAACCTCTGTGCCACCGGGCAGGGCCCTGCTTTATGCATTTTACTCTCCTCTTATCCTGCAACTGTATGCACCTTGCTCTCCACCATCCCTCCCAACCCTGCCACTTTTGCTAATGTCATTACCTTTGTGTGGAATGCCTTTTCCCTCTTTCCTCCTACACTTTCTCTGATCCTTCGGATTCTTTGATTCTTCAACTCAACTCAAATATCACCTCTTCCAGGAAGCCTTCTCTCTTCTTCCAGACTCAAACCAAACAATAGCTCCCTTCATTTGAATGCCCTTATCACTTGGTCTTTGTATTTCTCGTGACCACTTTCTACTTCATGTTAGTCCTCTTCTCACTGCTTATGTAACTGTTGGTGTTTGCCAACGTTTCCATCCTCAGGTTCTTGTCTCTCATTGCCCCCACTCTCCCCAGGCAGCGTTATCTACATCCAAGCTGCACCTGCCACTTCTGTGTGCTTTGGCGGTTCTCCTATTTCCATCTCCAGCCCAGCCTTCTTACCAGGTCTCCAGATATATTTACCCACCTGTTTCCTGGACATTTGGTTGCCCTCCTATCCCCTCAAACTCCATGTGTCTAAGAGGTTAGTTTCCTTTCCCTAAAAGATTCTCCTCCCCTGTGTTCCCTATATTGATGAATGGCAGACCATCGTCTACCTAGACAGCACTCCAAACAGAAATCTTTTCAATTTCTTGCCCACAGTCCAGGCCATTGTCCAGTTGATGCTTCAGTCTCCTAAGTCTCCTGAGGCCGCCTCCTTTCTTTTGTCCCTGGCACTTCTCCCTTAATTCTGCCCTTAATAACTCTAACTCAGACCTTTGCGGCAGCCCATTAACTGCTGCTAACCTTGCTTTCCTTCACTCCACCCTACTTGCTACCGGAAGAATCCTTCTGAGCATTAGTGACCATGTCACTCCTCTGCTCACATCTCTCAAGGCTCCTGTTGCCTGTGACCTGGCCACCCAGGCTCTCAGTTGGGGCTCTTGACTTGCCTTTTTCGCCTTGTTTCCCACCCTCCCCTGTGCTCCATATACCCTGTTCCCCAGCCCCACTTAGACTATTTAGCTCTCTCTCAGCACGTCATCACTATTCCTTCCTCTGGTGGCTAAAAACCCTTCCTGCCCTTGGGAGGAGTGTGTTGTGTCTTTGGAGCCTATCAGACTTGGGATTGAATCCCAGCTCTGCTGCTTGTTAGCTCTGTGACTGCAGACAGGTCTCCTAACTCCTGCCAGCCTCAGTTTCCTCATTGAGAATGGAGGACCTGCCCATTGCGTCATCATGAAGTAACATATGATGAATGCTCCAGCACTGTGCCTTGGGTTTCTTTGTTTTTCTCTGCTTTCCTGATCTGGTAAACTTTGTCCTCATCCAACTCTATGTGTCTAGTTCGGCTCACCTCTGCAAATTCTGCCTCCGCTTTTCCCCTGGTCAGAATTAGGTGTTCCTTCTGTGAGCTCACAAGGTGTCTGATATTGGGACACACGTGGGCACTCATCTGTCTCCCTGCTCAGCTGGGAGCAGCTTGTGGGCAGGAATCAGGAGTTCTTTCTCATTCAAAGTCTGCTGTTGATTATTTATGTACATGTCTTCTCCTAAACTAGCTGGAAGCTTCTCGAAGGTGGAGTTTTTATCTGATATGTATCTTTTCAGCAGCTAGCTGAATGCTGGGTGTCTCTAAATGTTTAACGAATGAGGAGATTGACAAGGTACTCATCCCCACAGCTGAGAAGGTAATGGTGGGAGCACACACAGAAAGAGAAGATAGCAGGAAATTCTCTTAACTGAGTTGCATAACATACATAAAGTAATTCTGTAAGTCATAGATTTGTTGCTAATAAGTTTCTGCACACCAGTTCTATTGAAGAACACTTTTTTTCTCTGTTTTCTCTAACTCACTCCAAGTGGTACAACACTGGCCTCTTGTACACTGTCTTTAGCCCATTAAAAACAAAACACCATATCTATAGCTATTATAAACAATTGATTCTTCTGAATTATCCTGTTGGGACAAGCTACTCAGATTTATTTCCTGGAGTCATATCAGATTGGACCTATAATTTTCTATAGCAATACGCCTTTTTCATTTTGAGTCTATTTCAAGCAGAGACTAAATTTAAAACCATGGTTAGCAGCCTTTTATGCTTAGTATCATAAATAATTTCAATTGTTTCTCAACTGAGAAAATATTAAAATTTTTATATTTATGGAGAAAAATGGGTGTTACCTCTTTAGTTGCTTCAGTTGAAAAAACTATGAGAGGTCTGTGAAAGAAGTGAGGGGAAAAGATCAGTCCAGCCCTTCCACACGTGACCTGTATATGGAATAACTATACCATGTATAGTTGCTATACTATTACCATATTAGTCTTGTTCTCTTGTCACTCCAGAAGTCCCTGGCACCCGTGCGAGCTACTGCTCTTGTTGCCCGCAGGAGTGGTTGTTCTGAAAGTCCCTCCTACACCCTCCTACTCCTTGCTGAGGTCTCCCCCTGCCATCCAGGAGGGCTTCTCCTTGGCTCCTTGATGAGCCACTGAGAACTCTGTCTCCTCCCTTCCCCCATTCCCCTGACTTCTCCATTCCCCTGTCTCCTCTCCACTGGCACACCCTGGGGGCCCACACTGCGGGAGCCCAGCTGAGGGAGGGCATTGGGCTGTGCTTGCTTGGTTTGCAGCAGGAGGAACTGTGTTCTTCATCTTAGTTAAAAGTTACAACTCAGAAGGAGGCTCTTGATAAAGGGTGGTTTGGTTCTATCCTATTATAATGTATGGGTTAGTACATGATCTGGGAATCTAACCATCCTTTATAAAATGGATTAAATAGCACTTATTTTCTGGCAACTTGGTCTTTCTCTCTCTCTTTTTTTTGATAAAATATCATTAGGGGAAAATATAGCCCACAAATAACATAATCCATTGTAGGTATATAGCCCACAAGTAATGGATAACCTAATTAAGTGGAGTCTTTCAGAAGCAGCATTGGGAATCAGTGTCAACTTAATTTGTCCATCAGATCCAAACACTGTATAATAGGTTTTTCCTCCTACCAGGCTGATTTTAGCACCAACGTTTCTGGGGTGGATGAGCAAGCACGTGTAAGCTGTGAGGACTTTGTGGACTTTTCTGATATTTTCCACTCTAATGAAGAATATTTCAGGAAACTAGAAGAGCTGAAGGCTGCCCACATGGAAACTATGGCAAAGTTAGAGAAAATGTACCAGAATAAATTAAATTTAAAGGAGCTTCAGCCAATGATCATCAGAGAAGAAGATTCTAGTGTCTCTTCCGGGTAAGTTTGTACATCATGTTACTGGTTGACTGTAAAATAAAATGCACTAAAACTGCAGAATAAAATTGTTTCAGAATATTTTCTCTCAAATATCCCTCTGTACTTTTAATAATATATGGAGGTGGGATTTTGTTCAAAATGTTTAATGGCTTATAACCTACTAGGTGACTTCTTGCTTTGAGGATCATTTGGTGGCCATTTGGTCTTTTTTCTGCAACCCACCACTCATAGAACTGTAGACATGTATCAAAATATTTAGTCTGGGCCATTTTTAAATGATGAACATTAAAATTTAGTTTTAAAAGCCCTTTATAATATGTGGATTAACATGAGTTCCTTAAAGGTATAGTACAAAGAGTTCAGGACTAAGATATAAATCTGATTCAAGTTTTCAAAATAGCCTGTCATTTCAAGACCCATTTCTGCTATAAACTCGCTTGTTTTGAAACTTGAGGCAAGTCCCTTACCTTATCCAGTTGGTCAGTGCTGATTACACATCTCCTGTGTGCCAGACCTTGCCTGGGCACTGAGTCAGAATCAGGATGCCCTCAAGGAGCTCAAAGACTAGCTGAGAATCAAAATATTGCAATACAGAAGGTTGTAACAAAGTGTTATGGAGTCAGAGGAAGAAGCAGTTGATCATGTCAGGGTGTTGGTGGAGGGTTGCAGGCAGGAATTTTCTACTGAAGTGTCACAACTGAGTTCAGTCTTAAAGGGGGTGTAGCTGCAGCAGAGGCAGGAAGCAAGGAGTGGCCTTCTAGGCAGCAGAAACCATGTGTGCAGAGGCATGGTGGCATGAGAAATCATGGTGTGTGAGGAACTTCACATGCTTGGATGTGACTTAAGAACGGTGACGTGCGGGTAGGGAGAGGCGAGACGCAGAACTGGAAAGGTGGGCAGGGGCTAGTCTTGAAGGGCTTTATAATCTAGACTCAACTGTAACAATGACAGCCATGGAAAAGTTTCAAGAAGGGGAGTGCCATGATCAGAGGTATGTTTTAAGATGGTGACTTTGGAAAACGTGGAGAACTCAATCGAGGTTAGACACAAGGAGCCTCTGCTGTCTCAGGTTCTTCCCCTGTGAAATGAGGGAGTCAAATTAGATAATTTTTCTCCCAGCTCAATTCTAAGTAACAGTGATAATTTTTACAAGCCCTATCCAGCTCCAATCTTCTAACTGATTATACTTTGATCTTAGAAAATATATAATTCTTAATTTTTATGTTTGGTCACATACAACTGAAAATATAACTTAATTCTTCCTCTCACTTAGGTCTGTATCAGAAGAGAACTATCATCCTGTCTCATTAATGACATCGCCTTCAGAGCCCGATTTAGGTCAGTCTTCCTCCGTGGTTATGTCTTCCTCTGAAGACGAGTTGCCCAACTTAGAAAAAGAGTATCCTAAGAAAAACAGAATGATGACCTATGCTAAGGAGCTCATCAACAACATGTGGACAGACTTTTCTGTTGAAGATTATATTCAGTGTAAAGATGCTGACTTCCCAGCAGTTGAAAAAGCAAAGAAGAAACCAAAAGAATGGGTGCCAAAGATTACAGTACCTGAGCCTTTTCAAATGATGGTTAGAGAGCAGAAGAAAAAAGAAGAGAACATGAAATCTAGATCAGATATTGAAATGGTAGACAAACTGCTCAAAAAACAAGAAGATGATTCAGAGTGTAAGAAAAAATTCCGAGCTAATCCAGTTCCCGAATTCGTCTTTTCTCCCCTTTACTGCGATATAGTCAAGCAAAATGAAGAACGGAGGAGGTCTATGAAGGAGAAGAACAAAGAAGCTCTTTTGGCGTCACAAAAGCCATTTAAGTTTATGGCAAGAGAGGAACAGAAGCAAGCAATTCGGGAAAAGCAGCTGAGAGACTTTGTTAAGTCTAAAAAGAAAACAAATCGATTTAAAGCCAGACCAATACCTCGATCTACTTATGGTTCAACTACCAACGACAAGTTAAAGGAAGGAGAGCTCTGTAGAAACATTAGGATGCAGCTGAGAGCCCAAGAGCTTTTACAGAATTCATCCACTCTGCCTCGTAGGCCAGCTGGTAGAAGTTTTGCTACAAGGAAGCCCAAGTATCCTGAACAGCCTGAAAAGTTGAAGTGTAAATGCAAGTTGAGGTGCCAGACTGCTGATTTGGAAAACCTTCCTGAGAGATACCTCTCACAACAGAAGTATCCAAAACTCCTAACAGCCTCTAAACCATCTGATCTTCAAGCAGCCAGCTCACATGCATCCACTAAAAGAGAGAAAATTTTGGCAGACATTGAAGCAGATGAAGAAAATTTAAAAGAAACGCGTTGGCCTTATCTGTCTCCAAGGCGCAAGTTACCAGTAAGAAATGCAAGTGCAAGGCCTGTGCCTTGTAACGGCAGCCCTGCGGTGCCCACAGTGTCTTCCAGAGGAAGAGAACAAGCCACAAGGTGAGTACCTGGGACACAGGACTGAGTGACGCGTGGTTGCTAGAATCGTGTATACAGCTATTTATTGATTTTACGTTGGTGAATTTGAAAATATGAAGAAGTTACTGTATTTGTGATATATTTTACTATGTAATGTAGAACATTTTGCCAGAGAGTGTTTTGCTAAGAAATGAATGTATTTTCCATTTTATGAATCTTTGGGGATAGAAAAGGTTACAGTCAGTCTATTGATTTCCAATTTCACAAGTCAGATCCTTTTCAAAGGTTTCCTTTTTTGACCATTGAATTATCCTGTGTTAAATCTTTGCTAAACAACATTCTCATTGGCTTAAAGTGAATTAAGCCTTAGTTTGTTGTCCTCAGGAGATCACTTGAGGAAAAGAAAATGTTGGAAGAAGAGAGAAATCGGATCCTAACTAAGCAGAAGCAAAGAATGAAAGAATTGCAGAAACTCCTGACGACTCGAGCTAAGGCTTATGACTCACATCAAAGTTTAGCTCAAATGTCTAAATCCAGAGTAAAATCTCTCAGGTATCATGAAAGAATCCTGAACTTCCAGATCACTGGTTTTCAAACTTTGTTTTTTAAATCAGTAAATACCAATATATGAACAGATTCAGACTAGTGTTGGTATTTTCGTTTCTGGATTCAAGTACTATCAGTTACTTGTACTCAACATAGATATACACGCTCACACTCACTCACTCACCTCTTGGTGAGAACCAACATGTAGGCTCACCTCATGGTGAGGACCATGAAGCCATGTTGATGAACAGAAATGTTTTATATTGTGGCCTTAGTTAATAGTTGTAATCTTACATCAGCATCAAATCTTTTTCTTTATATTATTCTAGATTGCACAGTACAATATTGAGAAAAATCTTGATTCACACAGATAAAGCTCCTTTTTAACAGCTTGCTGTGTAATCTCAGAATGTTCCTCAATAAACAAGTGTGTCAGAGAGCTTTGTTCTAAGGTCTGCATGAAATCTGGTAGCACAAATTAACACATTGATGTTAATTACCATCAGTTATGTGTCAGTTAACACGTGTGTTAATGGTTAGTGGTATGTGTTGCATTTTGTTATAGTTTTAATATAAGTAAATAAAAATATTTGCAGAAGCCCTTTACAGAACACTGGAATTCTGCAGTACAAAGTTTGAAAACCAGTATTCCAGAGGAACGTTTTTATGTTGTGACATAAAAATGTTCATATTTAAATAGGAAAATATCTCCCCGAAAGCTGGGTAAGTAATATAGTTTATTAATTTGTAATCTGATTTATAAGTACCCCTGAAAAATCTATATTTGCTTTTAATTACAAGTATTTCTTTTTGAATGTATATGTTGTATAATAATAATTATATCCCTTTATGATATATATTATATATATATTCCTTTATAATGTCTATCAGTGTAATTCATTGATCCAGGGAGCTTAATTTGATGAACTTGAGTAAAAAATTCCTTAGAAAAGTAAACTGGATTTTTCTTAATACCAACTTTTGTATATTTAATTATCATTTTATAGTATAACTATTTTCTGTAATCCACGAAGTTTTATTATCTTGGTAAAGTTAGTATATTTTACATAGAGAAAATAGCATTGTTTAATTCATTATAGGATCTTGTCCAAATAATAAGTACACTTACTGTGAATTTATGTATTTTGGTTCCTGTTGCTCTGTTATATTCCCATATTTCTCCCCTCACCTGCTCCCTTTTAATTAACTTTGCCACCAACCTATAGGAGATCTCATTTAGGGGAAGAAGAAGAGCAAGGTCTTGTTTTCAGAAGAAATTCTTTAAAGAGAAGACGTCTAATTTGGAAGAAATTTTCTTGGTTTTATACACTTATAAATGAGCTAAGAGGGCATTCATTTATCTCCTCAGGCCAGTTTGAAGCTCCTTAACACGTTAGGTCTTGAAGATTTGAGAACCTCGAAGTACCCAGACTGTTGCCAGGATGTAAAATGTGTGCTCTCAGAGCCTGGCATTTTTATTCTGCACTCCGTGCAAATTTGCCAGTTTAGAAAAGGAATTGTGGTAAACTGTGCTCATAATTTAATTTCTGATTTGTCATCTAAGCTAAATGTTATATGTGCAAATTCTTTTTAAAATTCCATTCCTTTTATTTGATTTTAGAAAGAGTGAAAAGGAAAGGATGAGAGAATACCGACGAGAACTAGAAGAAAGAGAAGAAAAATTAAAAAACAGGCCACTACTCTTTGAAAGAGTTGCTCAGGTTGTGTTCGTTGGAATTTAAGAGCTATTGTCAGCTTTTTTTTTTGAAATATCTCCAGCTCCTAATTTACAGTCTGTTTTTCTTATGTGTTATATAATTTATTGAGACATAGTATCATTTCTGTGACAGCTTCATCAAATCAGTCAAGTGAGTAATTTTGCTTAAAATCTGAGCGTTGAATCTTGTTCATGCGGCATGTGAGCTTGATAAAGAACACGGTGCTAATCCAGTCATTTTCAAAATAATAGTTTCACAACCTGTTTTTAATGGCTGGTCTCTTTTTAGTACCATCTTAGCCAAATACTAAGATGAGGCTTCATTATATGATTTAGAGGTCTTTGAAGAATTAAAAAATGAAACAAAATGGCTAACTGAATCAGATTTATTTCTGCCAGGTTTTTTTTTTTTCAGTTTCATTCAGATATAATTGACATACAGCACTGTATAAGTTTAATGTGTACGGCATAATGACTTGACATCCATATATTAAGAAATGATTACCACATAAGTTTAGTTAACATCCATCACCTCATGTAATTATCAAAAAAAAAGTTTTGTTTTTCTTGTGAGCAGAACTTGTAGGATCTGCTCTCTTAGCAATTTTCAGATATACCATACAGCAGTGTTAACCATAGTCATCATGTTGTACATTACATCTCCTGTACTTATTTATCTTATAACTGGAAGTTTGTACCTTTTGACTACCTTTATCAAATTCCTCCTGGTAACCACAAATCTTATTACTTTTTCTATGTGTTTGGTGTTTTTGTTTAGATTCCACATATAAGTGAGATCATACAGTATTTGTCTTTCTCTATCTAACTTATTTTACTTAGCATAATGCCCTCAAGGTCCATTCATATTGTCACAAATGGCATGACTTTCTTTTTTATGGCTGAATACTATTCCAGTGTGTGTGTGTGTGTGTGTGTGTGTGTGTGTGTGTGTGTGTACCGCATTTTCTTTATCCATTCATCTTTCACTGGACACTTAGGTTGTTTCCATGTCTTGGCTATTGTAAATAATGCTGCAATGAATGTGGAGATGCAGGTATTTCTTCAAGATAGTGATTTCATTTCCTTTGGATATATCCCCAGAAGTGGAATTGCTGGATCATATGGTAGTTCTATTTTTAATGTTTTGATGAACCTCTGTACTGTTTTACATAGTGGCTGTACTAATTTATGTTCCCACCAACCATACACAAGGATTCCCTTTTCTCCACATCCTCCCCAGCATTTATTTCTTATCTTTTTGATAATAGCCACTGTAACAGGTGTGAGGTGATATCTCATTATGGTTTTGATTTGCATTTCCCTGATAATTAGTGATATTGAGTACCTTTTCATGTACCTGTTGGCCATTTGAATATCTTCTTTGGAAAAATGTCTATTCAGATCCTTTTCCCATTTTTCAATTTGATAATTTGTTTTTTTGCTGTTGACTTGTATGAGTTCCTTATATGTTTTGGATATTAACCCCTTATGAGATATATGATTTGCAAACATTTTCTCCCATTCTGTAGGTTACCTTTTCATTTTGTTGATTAGTTTTTTTTTTTAAGTGAGTTTATAATTTTCAATCTTATCTACAATTAGTCAGAGGACTTCCTTTTTTCTTTTGTGGACTTTCTTTTATTTATTTATTTTTTAATTTTTATTTTTTTCAGATGTACATCATATTTCGAATTCTGTATACATTACATCATGTTCACCACCCGAACACTAATTATAGTGCATCCCCTCACGTGTGACCCTAATCACCCCTTTTGCCCTCCCCCCTCCCCCCTTCCCCAATGTTAACCACCAGTCCAATCTCCAATGCTATGTGTTTTTTTTTTGTCGTTTTTATCTTCTACTTATGAGTGAGATCATATGGTATTTGACTTTCTCCCTCTGACTTATTTCACTCAGCATAATACCCTCAAGGTCCATCCATGTTGTCACAAATGGTCGGATTTCATCATTGCTTATGGCTGAGTAGTAGAAAGGACTTACTTTTTATTGGAAAAATAATTTGGTCTTATAGACAGTGAATCCTGGATTTACTAAATTTACACTCAGCTTTACAGTCTTTTCCTTAAGAGAGATTTGTCAATTTCAGATCATCCTCTCTTTTGTACCCATAAGGGAGAGGTTCCTACGGGTGACGTGGCTTAACAAGAGACAGAATCAGTGGAGGTTACAGGTGCTGTGTTGTGAATTTCAAGCTGTTACATTTGGAGCTTCCTGCCAGCACATACCTGGGATAGATGGGTGTCCTTACAGGACTGTCCTTGTCAGTGACTCAATGAGGACCAGGAACATGTATTGTGGGTAAATTTACATACTACAAATCTCTCAAAGTTATGGGAACCCTTTACTTACTGATTTGGATATAATTTTATGTAATGCTTTTTGTTTTAAGGGGTGGGTTTCTATTTTTAACATCTCAGTTTCAACTTTAGGGGAAAAAATCATCATGAGTTGTTCTGCATTACTCAGCATAAAGTGACTGACTTTTGGCTCACAGTAGTTATCTCCAGCTCCCAACTGCAGGTTTTTATGTCCGATTGTCTGGTGGATATGTCTGCCCAGGTTTCCCACTGGCATCTTACATTCATCTAGCCCCAGCCTAAATCCTGGTCTTTGATTTCCTGTTTTGGTTGGGCCACAATGTAGATGACTGGGAACCACTTTTTCTCCCTATTCAGTTGTCACTGAGAGAACTGACAAATTTGCTTCCTAAATAATTTTTGGATCTGCCCTTCTCCATTCCTGATAGTGAAATGCTAGGCGAAACCTCTATTTCCTGAGTTATTATAATGATTTGACTAATTTTCCTTCCTTGCTTTTTGCAAAGCCATCCATTATATCTTCATCTTGCCATTCCCATTCCCTTGCCAAAATGTTAACCCTGGGTAGGTAGTTGATAGCCCCTGATGACACTGGCAATCATCCATTTTCACTGATTCCCTTCGTTCTCATTTTCAACAAATGGTATCAAGGGGTCTTGTCACTGAAGTCTCTAAACAGTGCTGTAAGGTATCCCTGTATTACAGAGGGCGTTCCAAGAAGGTAACTCATAAGGCTTATTGTTAGTAATAATGGACCTAGGAGTGTAACCCAAGTCAGTCTGCTTCGGAACACTTAACACAAAGCTGTCCTGCTCTCTCCCAAGAGATGCATCCAGGAGTCTGAGCGTGGTATACAGGATCCTCTGCTCAATCCCTGCTGACCTCTTTAGTTCATCTACCACTGCATTCCCCACACCCCTTACTATGTACATCGTTTACTTTCAGGCCATACAAAACCATTAGTTTCAAACGTGAAATCTCTATTCCTGCTATTTCTGAACACCCTTAGAGCCTCTTCCTATCTTTCCTCCTACTCTTTCAGGTCTTAGCATAAAATCACTTCTTGCTGTCTTCCCGGTTTGGGTTGGTGCCCTTTCCTCTGTGTTCTTTCATTACCCTTTGCACACTTCTGTCTTTGCTCCTACCACATTGTGTGGACATTAACTGTTTAACGATCTATCTTTCCTTCCAGCTAATTACTTTTAAAGGTGGTGATCAAATCTTTGTATTCCCAGCACCTCAGACAATGTCTGCCAACAAGGAGATGTTAAACATTTGTTGAGCCAAAACTGAACTATTACGATCCAATTAGCCAGATAATGACCTCTCATCTTCTCTCTGGGATTAGCCCAGGCTGAGAGCACTACCCTGATGTATTAGTCATGAGTCTCAGCATTAATAAGCAGTTTTGCCATGCTGTGAATTCCCACTGTTTCTAAGCACCAGAGAAAATGTGGCAAAATAAGTGGTGTGTGGGAAATTTAACCCATAAAGAAATTTTAATGTGGAAAACATAGGTTACTTTCGTAGCTGATATTTCTTTTACCACTTTTGGTCCTCACATATGATGTTCCATTTTCCCAAAACACTTTTCTCCTCCTATATATCTCTTACCTCCCATGAGGGCTTGTCACAAAATAAGTATTCAGTAATTATTAAATAAATGAAAGAATTACTATAAGCTAAACTTATGATTATAAAAAATAAGTCCTTTTTTTCCCTTCAAACTAGGGTAGTGATTGTAGACAAATTTTCATCCTTACTTGTTATTTTGGTTTCCTGAAGAAACAAAGCTATTTTTTTGGTTTCCTTTTTATTTTATTTATTTATTTATTTATTTATTTGGTGAGGAAGATTGTCACTGAGCTAACATCTGTGCCAGTCTTCCTCTATTTTGTATATCAGATGCCGCCACAGCATGGCTTCGTGAGCAGTGTGCAGGTCCACGCTTGGGATCTGAACCTGTGAACCCTATGCTGCCGAAGTGGAGCGTGTGGACTTAACCACTATGCCACCAAGCTGGCCCCCAAAGCTAATTTTTTTTTTGACAGTCTTTAATAGTAAAATAAAATAATCATACAGTTATTTTAACTGTTCCTTTTATCGTATAGTCTTTATAATTCTTTTGCAATGTTAAATGCAAGGGGGAAATAATTGTTTCAATTAGGAACAATTACACACTATTCACTGTGATATAAAATATTAAAAGACAATTCTATATACAGAGTGACTGGCAGTGACTTACCATTCCTTTGGTTTTATTAATGTAAATTAGTACATTTTTTTCTTGTAGTCTATTTTGCTGTAACTATCGCTGCTAAGTAACAGCTGCTGTTCAATAAACTCACTCACCGTTTGGTGCCTTACCCATTTATAAGTGTTCATGGCAGTTTTGCTGCTGTTGCGTTATCCCCCAGCAGGCTAACCCTATGAACCAGGACACAACAAATCATGTTGTCCTGTTTTGTGGAAATCATGGGATCTATTAACTGAGTAGATATTAAAACGAAGTTTAAACCAGATTCGGATGAAGGCCTTACAAGCACTAACTTTAATTAGTATCATTTTCATCTGTGTTGCATTTAATTTGCTTAACTCTAATATACTGTTCTTAATGCATTCATAGTTAGTTTGGGGTTTCTGCATTCTGCTTACAGTCTTTGAGGTATAGTTCTCATCTTCTCACTTTGCCATACCTTTCACTTCCCCAAGGCTTGTCTGTTGGTCTGGATGCATTTTTACTTACTTTTCTAAAAATTGTTGTTATTCACAGTGGGTGCATTTTAGCAGCAGTTTAAGGGCTTCTTTCTCAATTTTCCAGAGTGTCAGGAAATGCACTGGTGATAGTTTTATCCGCTGTAATCAGTCTTTGCTATTTTGGTTTCTCCCGTGGAACACTAGACTCCATGGTCCCTCAGTATGCTGGAGTCCCTGGGTTAGGCAAATATCTGACACCTGCATTGCTAAAGTCAGGCTTTAGGCTACCTTCAAACTCTGGGATGACTACTACCACTTAGCGAAAGCAGCATGGTGGAGTGAAAAAGATCCAGAAAAGGGTAAAGAGACTTGGTTCTGCCACTCACTATCCTGTGACCATAAGCAAACCACCTAACCTCAGCGCGGGTAGAAGGAGTGTCTTGGTTTCCTTACTTGTTAAATTTGGGGGCAAGTCTGGGTGCTCTCCCACACCCTTTCCAGTATGAGATACCATTGGTACATTGGAACTGGGCCATTCCTAGTTACCTTGCTTTCGTTGAGGTCCAGATGCTAATTCTTTGCACTATACTACTAGTTCATATCCACTCATAGGAGCTAGAAGTGGACTAAACCTGAGGCACTAGTGTGAACCCTAGTCTTGTGGCTCCCTAAAGCCTGTGGGCTCAGGAACTGTGAGGACTTCAAGCTTGCTTCAGATATGAGAGGGTCATCACAACTTCCACAGGTCCCAAAGCCAGGAAGTAATATTTTGGAGATTTGAACCCAGTTGTAAATTCATGTTCTTTTTGCTGTATCCATGGCTTCCTCCACAAAGTAAAGATAACACTGATGATTTTATCATCTTTGGTGGGTCGGAGATATGGCTTATAAAGAGTAAAAATTACAATAGGCACGTAAAATAAAAGAACACTCTGATAACTAGTACATAAACTTATTTTCTTATAGATTTCTCCAGATATCCTTGAATAGACATAAAAGTGTATGAAACAGATTCAGTATAAAGAATAATTATAGATCAAAACTCATGTGGCCACCACCCAGGTTAACAAATTGAGCGTTGCCAGCACTCCGGAAATGCTGTTTGGCCCTCCCAGATCAAAACTCTCTCCCTCTCCCCTGGAGGTAACCACCTTTCCAACTTTGTTTTGTTTTGTTTTGTTTTGTTTTTTGAGGAAGATTAGCCCTCAGCTAACTACTGCCAGTCCTCCTCTTTTTGCTGAGGAAGCCTGGCCCTGAGCTGACATCCGTGCCCATCTTCCTCTACTTTATATGTGGGACGCCTACCACAGCATGGCGTGCCAAGCAGTGCCATGTCCGCACCCGGGATCCCCACCGGCGAACCCCGGGCTGTCGAGAAGCAGAACATGCGAACTTAACCGCTGCGCCACCAGGCCGGCCCCCATTCCAACTTTTGAGATAAGCATTTCCTTGTTTTTCTTTGCAGTTTTACCACCTATGTACCTATCCCCAAACAATGTAGTTTAGTTTTGTCTGTTTGGGGACTTTCTGTAAATGAATCCTACTCTATGTACGCTTGTATTCTGCTTCTTTTGCTCTGTATTATGTTTGTGAGATCCTCCAGGTTGTTCATTCATTTTCATTGCTTTATTTTACTCTGTTATATGAATAGACCACACTTTATTTATCCATCCCAGTGTTGATTGATATTTGGGTTTTTCCAGTTTTGAGTTGTTACAAACAGTACTATCCCGAACATTCTTGCACATGTCTCCTGGGCACATATGTAGGAGTCCCTCTGGGGATATACCTAGGAGTGGGGTCGCTGGTCAGAGGGTATGCATATTTTCAAACGGCTGTGATTATTGAATTTAATTTTCACCGGTGCTTTTAACCCATATGTTTTTAGTGGAAATTTAAAGTCCTTTGTTCTCGTCTAAAAAGGTTTGTCTTTCCTATAGAAAAATGCAAGAATGGCAGCAGAAAAGCAATACTCTAACACCCTAAAAGCACTAGGAATATCTGATGAGTTTGTTTCAAAGAAAGGCCAAAGTGGAAAAATATTTGAGTTCCTCACCGATCAAGAGATGAAAAGTTTCACTGAAGAAAAAGAAAGGTAACATATGTGAGATGTCTGAATGGTTTACCTTTGAAAAAATTCTTACCTGCAGGAAAGCATAAAATTCTGTTCTATGATATTCTAAAAAGGTATTTTACCTAATGCAATACATGTGAACTGTTGTAAAACATATTGATTCTTTAACATGTTTGACACATTCAAAATATTACACAGCGATGAAGTATCTTGTTTTTAAAGCAGAATAGTTTAAATTTCTGACTGAAATAATGAAAATAATAACATGCTTCCAAATGAAGTTTAAAGAGTCAATCAAGTTTTGAAATAAATTAGTTCTCAGAGGAATATTTACTTCCCCAGTTGGCACTTTGATAGAGTTTTCTTGATAAACTGGAGCTCATACACTTGATGAAGAATGACTACATGATGGCATACATTGCAAAGGGTTTGTTTACCTTTAAACCAAATCATTTTTCCTTTGAAAGATTGATAAATTTCTTCCTCTAGCTTTAATGGAGAAGAAAAACTAGAAGAAAGAAAGAATGAGGAAGAAAATTATTTTATTGATACCAACAGCCAGGATTCTTGCAAGGAAAAAGATGAAGCTGATGAAGAGAGTGGAGAAGAAAAATCTGTTGATGAATAAAACAGAATCAGCAGGGCCTCCTCTCTGTGCCACGCTGGTGTTTGCAGCCTCGGGTGTCAGCAGCCGCGCATGTGGTGTTAAGAATGTCGCTGGGAACCCCTCCCATATGTGCAGGGCACTGAAGCAAAATCCTCCATCGCCTGAAAGGGCCGAATCCAGCTCATTGGTCATTTGGTCAGTTAGAGTAGGCTTTGCCTATTCAGCGTTTTTAATTGCTGCATATTGTCTGTTTGCAACTTTGATCTTACTTGTATTTTTAAAAAGCGTTTTTGAATCACAGCTGTCACAAACTGATTAATTATAAAAATATACATTACTTCATTATTTTTGGTGGAAAAAAATGGCTTAGCATTGAGGGCAGAGAGAGGTATTGGCCTTTTGTGATTTGTTTGAAAAAATTTCTCTGGAAAGCAGGAATCAATAAATATTTTAAAATTAGACTATTTGCCTATTCTTTTTCTCTGCAGTGTATCCCACAAAATGAACCCTCAAACGTGTTTTACTAGGCATTGTAAGTTTCTTATCTGAGCCATTTAAAAAAACTATTAAAACATAGAAAAAAATAGATACTTGCAAATTTACATTCATTTCTGCACTGAGAATTTACTATTAAATTATCCATATCATCATCACTTTTTCTCTTTACCTCTAGTTTTATTCCAAATTATTTTTGGTGTGTAAATTATTAGAAAAATTTTTATACTAGTTTTTTTAACCCTGTGTGTTATGACAGATGGAAATAATTATTATAATTGGAGGCAAATATCAACCTTGTTTTATATATGATGAAATTGTGCATACCAACTTGTCCAAGGCAAGTCTCCAAAGTAATTCAGATTTAATACTAGAGCCAGTTGTGCTCAACTTTTTACATATTATTGCAGACACACGTTGTCTTTCTGTGCATGATAATTTGATTTTATGAATCTATCATTTTTCTCTTTAAGCAAATTTTTGTTTTAAAATTTCAACCAGTCATAAAGATGTGATAGGGTAGGACATTTTCTTTTCTAAAAACAATCCCTCCTTTAGCGAGGATGAACTAATAAAGGTGTGTATAGTAGCAATGTTTCCTGACTGGCAATTTGTACTTTAAATCAAGAAATAAAGTGATTTTTCTCAGTCAAAAGCAAATGTTTACTTGTAATTCTTTTCCTACAGTTTGTGTTAAACTATTTGTCACTATTGTTAGATTTGTAAACTCCTTGAGAGTTGACACCATTTTAAAATTCATCTTTGTATTCCTTTAATATTTTGCACAGGATTGTACTTAATAAAGGCTTGGATGAGTAACTAGACAAATATGGTTTTTAATTATAATTACTTCAAAATGAGTACACATGAGATTAAAAACATTTCCCTTCCAATTTATTGAGAACCTGTGAAACACAATCCACAAATTGTAATATTTAAAACATGACTTGGTTTCAGCACCAATCTTCAATTTCCTTTTCTTTAAAAATGGGAATAGTACCTATCTTGGGTAGCTGTGGGAAAGATTGATGAAGTCATCTATGGAAAAGCTCTTTGTAAACTAGGCTATTCAGATGATAGTGTCAGAGGACAGAATATTCCTGAAGAAACTTTTAACTTTAAACATACTTTTATTTAAATGAAATACAAAGTGATTTAAATATTATTTTGTTAGAAATAATGTTTGAATCACTTTTTTAAAAACAGTGATCTGGTAAACAGAGCTAAACTTAAAAGACACTGGCAGTTTCAAACCATTCTATGCAAAATCACTATTTTTTTTTTTTAGAAAGCACCATATTGACAGCTAAAAGATTTCTTTAGTGTGTGGCATTACACAGTGATGGTCAGAAGTCAGTGTGAAAGATTACATCAAATATATTTGTTAGGTAGTAAATAACTTTGAAAATTTTGTACATTTATATCATCAGAATTTCCTCCACAATTCTTTTCACGTGTAGGATTGTCTGTTATTTATGGCTAGCCTGACATCAAGAAGAAGGTTATGCTCTTATTTCCTTAAATAAATAAAAATATTACTGGGTTACCTAGTGACCTCATACTTACATATTTCTTTAGAAGAAGTGATCTGGGTATTGGAGGGCTAAGTGATTTTATATATATATATATACTGAATATATTCATGTAAAATATACAGTATGTATAAATATATACTGTATAGGCACACATACATATGTACATATAAGATGGAAAACTTAAGAAATTATTCTTTTACTCCATTTATTTAGTCTACACGATAAAACAAGCATGCCTATAAGGATATCAGGCATTTTTCTCATGGACAATATTTCTTAAGTTAATTCTAATAATTGGAGAGTAACAAACATTTCAACATTTGGACCTAGGCAATAAAAATCGCAAAAGTTAAAATATTGCTTCACTGCTTTAAAAAAATTACACTGTTCTCAACCATCATATGCTTGTATGTATATGTGTATTTTTAGTGGTTATTTTAGAGGAAACAAGTTCTTGTGAAATGAAGTTTTGTCAATGTATTGTAGTCTAAATAAAGCGAGTACTTTTTCCTGAATGCTCTAGGCACTGTCATTTCTTATTGCTTTTAAGTTGTCCTGATGTGGCCCGTGGTTGACTAACTTATCTGTGTCATCCTTTAGAAAAGTTATAGGAATAACTTTTATAGCAATTTTGTTGTTGTTTCTACAGAGGCAAAAAAATCAGGGTCCCAGTATACAGTATGTTTTTTAAATTCTACTTAAAAAAAATCCCAGTATTCAGAATCTGTTTAAAAACTAATATAGATTGAATAAGTAAAAAACAAAACCATAGTTTGTAAGATTTCCTAGCTATGAAAGCACATATACTAAAATTTAGGATATCTACTTTAGTTATTTTTTCAGATTTTTTTCAGTTTTATTGAGATAAAATTGACATACAGCACTGTATAAGTTTAAGATATACTGCATGATGACTTACATATATTCTGAAATGATGACCATAGTAAATTTACATATAGATTCAAAAAATCATTTCATATAGATTCAAAAAAAAAGAAAAAAATGGTTTTTCCTTGTGATGAGAACTTTTAGGATTTCCTCTGTTACCAACTTTCAGATCTACCATACAGCAGTGTTAACTATATTCGCCCTGTTGTACATTATTACATCCCCAGTACTTATTTATATTTTATAACTGGAAGGTTTCTACCTTTTGAGCATCTTCATCCAATTCCCCCACCCCTCACTTTTTTTCTTTTTGTAACAACTAAGATTTTGTGGTCTTTGGCAAGTTGTAAATCTCAATAGAGAAGGAGATAAAAATTAAGAAAAGTAAAATTTGTTATGTAACTATCAAAAGTCAGGGAATAATATGCATGCTTATATCTAACTCTGAAAAGATGATAAAAAAAATGGTGATAGGATTTGCCTCTGGGAACAGAGCCTAGGATTGGGCAATGGAAGACAGTTTTTTGTTTTGTTTTTTCCCTTTCAATATACGTATATTTATGAAAAATATAAATGAAGCTTAAACCTTGTTGGAAGCTATTTTCTAGTCATGGATTATAGTATCCTGATATCAAGAAAAGAGAAAAATGCTTATATCTTTTCTTGATACAAAAAGAAACTTTACTATGAAATATTTTAGACATATACAAAAGGAGAGAGAATGGTCATGAACACCACAAACCCATCACCCAGTGTGAACAATTATCTACTCAAACTTAAGCTTATTTCCTCTATGCTCCCACCCACTACCCCCTAATTTTTTTAGAAACAAACCACAGACATATTCATGTGAAAATATTTCAGTATATATCTTTAAAAGATAAATACTCTGCTGTTACATAACTCAAGTGCCACATCACATACACAAAATGAATAATTCCTTAATACCAGTTATCTAATAGTGTTCACATTTAACCTATTGTATTATACATTTTACACAGTTTATTTGAATCAGGATCCAAACATTGCAATTGATCATTAAGTATCTCGTCTCTTTTTAATACTTACCTCTTTTTTTCTTGCAGTTTTGTTGTTCTTGAAGAGACCAGGTCCTTTGTCCTGAAGAGTATCCCACTCTGAATTTTGTCATTTAATGTGTTCCTGTGTGCTCTATTTCCTGTAAATTAGTACTTAGATCTAGGCTTGATCAGATTCATATTTCATATTTAGTGTTTGACAAGAATCCTTCATAGGTGGTGGTGTGCATTTCCATCAGGAAGTACCTGATGTACAACGATCTGTCCTTTTTTGATGTTATCCATCATAGATGATCATTGCTACAATTTCTCATGCCAATGCCTCCCCCTCGTTTTGGTTATCTGAACCTCTCTTCTCTAGTAGATTCCTTAGGAAGGGCTCATGGAGAGACTATTCTGATTTCTTACATTTTCCTAACTGTTTGTCTATGGTCTTGATATTTGAAGATCGGTTTGTCTGGATATAAAAGCTTTACCTCATATTAAGTATCTTAAATATGTTTCTTGTCTTCTGGCATAAAGCATTGCTATCATACCGTCTAACAGTAATCTTATTTTCTTTCCTTTGTAAGTGACTTGTTCTTTTTGCCTGATAGCTGAAGTATTTTTTTTCTTTTTGGTTAGGTCCAATAATTTTACTAGACTGTGTCTCAGTGTTGGCCTCTTGGGTCAGTTTTCCCAGATACATAGTGTGCCTTTTCAGTATTTAGTTTCAGGTTTTCTTTTGTCTCAAGGAAATTTTCTTGGATTATGGTTTTTAGTATTTATTCCATTACTTTAAGAACCTCTTTATATATGTTGAATCTTCGTCTTCTGTAGATTTCATTTCTTCTTGAATTCTTTATTTTTTCCTCAAGCTCTCTTTTTATTTTTAACATTTTCCTTTCCCATTTCTTTCTTTCTTGTTTTTTTTTTTTTTTTGCCTGAGGAAGATTCGCCCTAAGCTAACATCTGTTGCTAATCTTTCTCTTTTTGCTTGAGGAAAATTCACCCTGACTTAACCTCTGTGCCAGTCTTTCTCTATTTTGTATGTGGGTTGCCGCCACAGTATGGCTGCTGACAAGTGGTGTGGGCCTGCTCCTGGGAATGGAACCAGGACCACCGAAGCAGAGCATGCCGAACTTAACCACCGGCCACCGGCCCAGCCCCCTCCCATTTCTTTTAAAACATAATTTCTTGTGTTTATTCACTCTAGTCTTCATTTTTGAAATGACCATTTTCATTTATTTCTGATCTTTCCTGGGTTTTTCTTATCTCTCTTTTTGAATCTTTTTTCAAATCACTTCATTTCAGAGTTTTTCTCATTGTAATCTATCTTTTCTCTTATAGTTTCTGTCATTTTCTTTTAGCTCATTCTGGAATATTATGATGGCTATAGTTTTCATTTCTTTTTCGGATATGTTTTTCTGGTGTGCTTTCATTGTCCATAGAGTCATTATTCTTCTCTCATTCTCTTTATTTATTTATTTATTTATTTATTTATTTGAGGAAGATTAGCTCTGAGCTAACTACTGCCAATCCTCCTCCTTTTGCTGAGGAAGACTGGCCCTGAGCTAACATTCATGCCCATCTTCCTCTACTTTATGTGTGGGACGCCTACCACAGCATGGCTTGCCAAGTGGTGCCATGTCCGCACCCGGGATCCGAACAGGCAAACCCCGGGCCACTGAATCGGAACGTGCGAACTTAACCGCTGTGCCACTGGGCTGGCCCCTCGTTCTCTTATTTAACAAAAACTGTTTGATTTTTTTTACTGTATTATTTAGAAAAAATAATTAGAAGATATTGGACTGGGAGTAAAAGTTTTAGTCCTACCACTTAAATGAAGTGAAATAAAAAGATGGTGGTAATAAATACAAGTACTATAGAAAATAAGTTAAGCAGAGAAGGAAGATGAGGGATAGTTCATGCTGCAAATTTAAATGAAGTGGCTAGAGAGGGTGACCTTCGAACAAAGCTCTGAAAGGCTTTGACGGGTGGGCCTGTGGCTATCACGGGAAAGTGCTGTAGGCTGAGAAGAGCCAGTGCAGAGCTCTGAGGGGTGTGCGCTTGGAGCAGAGGGAAGAGGAAGAAAAGTCAGGAGAAAAAGTCAGAAAGACATGGGGGTGGGAGTAAGGTTGGGGGCAGAGTAGGAGGGGATCTGGGAGCTCATTGTAAGGATTTTAGCTTCTTTGAGTGAGATGGTGAGACACTGGGGGTTTTTTTGAGTAAAGTAAAATGGTTTGACAACATTTAGGGTCTTTCTGCAGCTGGCTGAGAATGGTCTGTATGTGGCAAAAGCAAGAAGGTCTCTTAAGAGGCTTTTTAAATAACCCATATACGGCCCAGGGTTCATGGGTTCGGATCCCGGGTGCAGCCCTACATACCGCTTATCAAGCCATGCTGTGGCAGGCATCCCACATATAAAGTAGAGGAAGATGGGCGTGGATGTTAGCTCAGGGCCAGTCTTCCTCAGCAAAAAGAGGAGGATTGGCAGCAGATGTTAGCTCAGGGTGAATCTTCCTCGGGGAAAAACAAAAAGGTCACATCCAACCTGTGAGGCAGGTAGAGTATCCTTTCCATTTTGCAGACGAGGAAATTAAATAACCCAGGTAATACCATGCAACTAGGTGATGACAAACCTCCCTGCTGGTTCAATTGCCCCATCCTACACTCTAAGGAATGTTACCTTCAAAACAGAAGATAGAATCAGTTCAAGCTCTGAGTTGACTCAGAAACAAACAATAGTTTTCTTCATAGAAAGCACAGTTTTGTTTTCGTTTTTTTTTTTTTTTGGTCCTTAGAATAGATCCCATTAAAGATGTATAGGAAATTTGTGTTCAAAAGCTTCAGAATCTAGAAACTTAAACCATACCCCAAATGTAATGTAAGATGTAACTAAGAAAGACATTACAGTCCTGATATGAAAACTATCAGAAGGAACTAATGAAAAACTTTTTTCTTATTTTAAAAGTCCTTTATGTTCATGGTAAACACTCTCAATAATATAGGAGGGTCTAAATTTTTTAAAACAGCTTTGTGTGTATTCTCCCAGAAATGTTATGTGTGTGTATATAAACATTCTATAATGCATATAATATTATATATATTCTATGATATGTAAATTCTACACTCTGCATAATCTATATGTCATTGTCCCACCAATGGCATCACAGATTTCATACATACCTGCTACCATCTGCATAATCTCAGAGATGTCTCCTCTTTGCAGACAACCTGTCCTTGCCCAGACCTCATAGACTTTAGACCTTTGACTTCCTCACCCCCAAGGACCTATTTTCTTCCACCTCATCCAGCCACCCCAAAATCATTCTTTTGAACCCCACACTCTGACCTCAACTGCTACTGACTTCTACCTTAGTTGCTACTTCTCTTTTTGGTTTACATCTTTCCAAATGTTGTTAAGCTCTACGTTCATCCACTCTCTTCTCTTGCTTTCTTTGTTCTTGTGGCTTTGTACTTGTTTTATTCCTTTATTGCCATTTTGGTAGAGTTTCAGGAGGATACCACGTGGTCAGAGCATTCATCCTTTCATAATATTTTCTCTTCTCCTGGGTATTTCCCCGGTTTTCTGCCTTCTTTGCCAGCGACTTCTATTCCATTTGTCCTCAAAGGGCTCCCCAGGACTCTTCCCTGATCCCCTTCTCTGGTCTCCATGGGCGATGCCAACCTTTACCTACAGCATCTACAGTTGAAAACTTCCAAATCCATGTCTCAGTCGCAGACGCCTCCTCAGAACTTTACCTTTTAATTGCGCACATGCAACATGTCCAACACTAGTCTTTGATTTTCTTGCTTTTCCCTTAGGTAGAACTGCCATCCTCCAGTTGCTCAAGCCAGAAATCTGGGAGTTTTCATCGGTTCCTGCTTCTCTCTTATGTCCTATATCTAAGCCCTCAGCAAGTGTCATTGGAAATCCCCCCACAACATATCTAAGAATGGATGGCTTCTTTCCATTTCCACCTCCCCTCTCTAGTCCACATCACTGTCACCGCTCACCTACATCAGTGGAATGCAGCCTTTTATGATTTGTATCCTGTGAGAAAAAGAAACTTGAGCATGCACCTCCAATGTATTTATATTTTTATATAATGTTTATATTTTATTTTATATTTTATGCTATTTACTTTATATTTGATGTATTTATATTTTTATTTAATGTTTATTTATTATATACATGTGCTATTGTGCTAACATGTATATTGTAAAACATGTACAAAAAGATATTTAAAAGGATAAGATTCGAGGGCCAGCCCCGTGGCTGAGTGGTTAAGTTCACGTGCTCTGGTTTGGCGGCCCAGGGTTCGGATCCTGGGCGCAGACATGGCACGGCTCATTAGGCCATGTTGAGGTGGCGTCCCACATGCCGCAACTAGAAGGACCCACAACTAAAATATACAACTATGTACTGGGGGGATTTGGGGAGAAAAAAAAGCGGAAAAAAAAAAAGAAGAAGATTGGCTACAGTTGTTAGCTCAGGTGCCAATCTTTAAAAATAAAATAAAATAAAAGGGTAAGATTAGAATATAACATTATTTTAAAAGTAATTCTTTAAATGTAATAATCATATAAAAACTTCTGCTCCATGAGAGAAAGGTGTTTGAATATGGTTCTTTATTTTTGGAAATGTTGGTTTAACACTTTGTGATAAAGCAATTTGAAAGATCAGTCCTAAGTTGAGTGTGTCTCAACGCTGGGCTTGACTGTCATGCTGAGAAAGACACGCCACAAGGCTCACTGCTCAGTATCCAAAATTCGCATATGGTGAGGTTTGCTGTTAATTATAGTGGACATAAATCCTTATCTCAAAGTTTTCTTGATAATTTTGAATTTTTTGGCTTACTCCAAATAAGACCTGCTTAGATCACCGTTGTTTTTGCCTCCTTATGTGGCTGATTAAGAGCTCATACTGGGTGGAGGAGAAGTGCTCTGGTATGTTCTTGCTCCCTTGTGCTTGGGTTAAGAGTATTATCCTCAGTCAGATGTTTCTTTACAGGATTTTCTTTTAAAGCCGCTTGTCCATTTTGTGAGGATTGGTTTTAGAAAGCTGCTAATATAATCGGTGAGGCTACCTAACAGGGCACACACAACCTGAGATGCATGGCCACAAGTTCCATGTGAGCAAAAGTGGAAGGCCCTGTCCCAGTGTGGCACTTGGCTGTCTGAGGACCGGACCATGTGAGCAGTCAATGACAATTCACATATGAAATTTTGGTAAAGCTTTATTTTTTTTTTAAGACAAAATTAGTAGAAATTTTCTAGTAGCAGTTTCCACACCAAATGGGACGTCTTGCTCCCCTCCTACGCCAGGAGTGTGCATCCCACTTTGGAAATGACCAGTCTGGGCCCCTGCTTCCTCTCTTGCTCAGGCCATCAGTATGGATAGAGTGAAGACTGATTGTAAGAATGTGGTTGCTAAGGCAAATAGGGCAAAGAATAAAGAGCCGTTTGTTTGAAGTCAAGAAGTACACGCATATCATCAAACTTGCTGATAAATTCAGGTTCCAGTGGGGCAGTGTTGAGGTAGGGTAACCAGAACTCCCACTACCCACTGCCCACTGTGTCCAGATGGTACAGGGATTTGGGCGAGGGATGAAGGGATGCCTTTGCTGTCAGTCAAGGTCAGAGTGCTTCGCAATGTGACCCAGGCAGGGGGGAGGGTGTATATAAGGTAATGTGATAAAAGGAATAAGACTTCTTTGTGTAGATCAGATGTGGGGCTTCAGAAGAACATGCATCCCTAGGTATGGAGGTGTGTTTGATTTTGTGCCTGAGAGAAAGCCAGCATGGAATGGAAGTCTCGTCTCACTGGCATCCTAGGATCCAGAGCTCACCCCTTTTTCAAGTAGGGGGATGGGAGAAACAAGCAAGGCCTGAGCTTACCTTTCCTCTTTGTGAGCCAGCAGAAATGGGGTTAAGGGCTCAAGAGAAGATGCTGATTTTCAGTAGAAGGCAAGGACGCAAAATTTGCAAGACACAAGAAAGAAGGGGATAGGAATTCCATTATTTTTGTTAGGAGGATTGGTTTGCTCTGGGTAAAGGAGGGTGTAGTGGGGAAGGAGGGACAGAAAATAGGGAGAGGTGGGGCCACCTGGTGCCCGAGTGGTTTAGTTCACGCGCTCTGCTTCAGCAGCCCAGAGTTTCAGTTTGGATCCTGGGCACAGACCTAGCACTGTTCATCAAGCCATGCTGAGGTGGTGTCCCACATGCCACAACTAGAAGGACCCACAACTAAAATATACAACTATGTACTGGAGGGCTTTGGGGAGAAGAAGGAAAAATAAAAAATAAATAAAATCTTTAAAAAAAAAGAAAAGAAAAGAAAATAGGGAGAGGTTAAAGAGGGGACTTTGGGAAATAAGGAGACAAGAGTTGAAGGAGAACCAGCCTTTACATCCTTGCCTTTGTGCATCCCAGAGAATGGGACCTAGGCCCTGATTATCCGTTCTGTTCTCCTTTGCTCAGAAAAGAAGTTTTTAAACCTTTTCAGGGGCTCAGTGTGTATGAGTTTTCCCAATAAGGAGGTAATCTATAGACACTTGCCAAAATTCCTTAGTTAGACCTAATTCAGTTCTTTTTCTCTCTCTCTCTCTCTCTCTTTTTTTTTTTTTTTTGCTGAGGAAGATCAGCCCTGAGCTAACAGCTTCCTCCACTTTATATGTGGGTCACTGCCACAACATAACTGTTGAATGGTATAGGTCCACACCTGGGATCTGAACCTGCAAATCTGGGCTGCTGAAGAGGAGCATGCCGAACTTAACCACTACGCCACAGGACCAGCCTAATCTTTTTTTTTTTTTTTTTTTAAATAATATGGTGGAATTTTCAGGACAGCATGAGATCTAGAGACCAATCAAAGGACTATTCAGTTGCCCTGGCTTCTCTTCACAAAATATATTACATAATGTTCAGATATTACCACCTGGTTTCTACCCTCTGCAGTAAGATCTTTTATCTTCAAATATCTGAGCAAATGTGGCTCCTTACTCGAACACATACACACCTTGCAGGTGGTGGGCACAGCAAACACTTGGCTTCAGAAAGGAGAGGCTCCTGACCCTTTGTGTGTGTACTCCTGGGGCAGAACAATCAACCACCAGGACATTAGTCATAACTCATCTCTTCCCTGAAGCTGATTCGACAGGCAGGTTCTTTTCTACTCTCCAGGTGCATCAGGAAGCAGTGTGCTGACTTGGTTTTAGACAGAGTGTTTCCACATAACTTTGTAATTGTAAGGAATCTCTCTGAGAAAGGTCCCCCCAGATCCTGGGGTGACTTATTAGAGATCAATAATTTATAGCCATAATGTGCTAATCCCATTTGTATCCCTAGAGGGAAGAAAAATGTTGATTATATGGAAGGTGTAGGGACTTCAGGCCTGTGTAGAATTGACCCAGAATTGCCCCTCCCTGCCCCAGGGTCATCTGATGGGGCACAGCTCCCTCCTTGTGGACACCTGGGGATCAAGGAATAGCTGGACACCCACAGATAGTGTTCCCATTGGACAAACAGGGAGCTGATACTCCTCAGACTGGCTAAAGGACAAGCTTTCACATTCAGAAGGGGGATTTGCTGGGTGACATAGGGGCTTGAGATGGCTAACATTTCTCTTAAGCTTCTTGATTCTAAGTGTGATGTGGAGGAAGGGAAGAGAGGCAATGCTATAGAATATAATTGTGATAACATTTGTCCGAGTATAACTGTATTATGGTATTGCGATTACTACATTTCAACTGCTGTTACAGCGAGCATTTCAATTAACAAAAAAGTATTCCTTAAAATGGAGGATGGTTTTATCTACCTATTTGGAACTGACCACAGCTGACTAGGAGAATCCATGTCTTACAAAGATGAGTGAGAGAGACGATAAGTGAGAAGAGGAGAGAAAGCAAGAAAAGAAGAAAAGAAGTGGAAGTAAAACACCGCCTTTGATCAAGGCATTCTGTAGTTCAGGGCTGAGCAGAAAGCAGTCAAAAGATCTAAGAAAACTGACAGTAAGGGGCAAAAGAGTTCAAAGTGCAAACTGTCGGGAATCTAGGAACTCAAGAAATGGGGATAAATTCTGGATGAACTCCAGCTGATTTCCAGAAGAAAAACCAGTTAACAAAGCTCTGAATCTGAAACTCTGGGTACGACAATTCAATTATATCCCGAAAAGGAAGCAGAAAGGTTCCTAAACAGTTGTGCTATTCATTATATCTCCTGTAACAGACGTTGTTTGGTTAGACTCCAAACCAACAGTTTCAATTCAGTAGTCCATATCCCAACACATTTCTAAGGCAATAATTTTCTCACTGGCAAGTGACACTCCAGCCGTCCGGAGCTACTGCACGGCCTCGACAAACCTTGCACCCCTCGTCTCTGTGGCTGCGTGCTACTCCCCCAGCCAGGACCTCCCCCTTCTTCCCCTGCCCGAGTCCAGGGGTCTGTGCATCTTCCCTCCTGCCACTCCCTGAAGGGGTCTTTCTACACCTTTTACCTTAGTATTTGGACAGGTGACAGGCCTGACTGTCCAGCGTCACACACACTCGCCAGCTCGGAACCTCTCTTTGTTCTGTGGTAACTGATTGTGATGATGTACCCTTGAAGGCATGACTCAGCAATATAGGAAGCGCTCAGGCTGTATTTTTGAGTGAATGATTAATGAATAGATCTATAATAATCAAGCACGGCATGTTTCAGTAAACATCTCAAAGTATGTCTCTAAGAATAACTTTTTCCTAACACCATTACTTTAACCTTTATATGAATGTAACCCAAGAATATTTACTACCAACTTTCCAATTTCAGCAGTCTTCTTTAAAGTTTTACTGGGGGCTTTTAATTCTTTCATTTCAACTAGAGAGCTAGCCTATAAATAATCTATACAAAATAATCAGAATGCCCCACAATACATACTAATTCAGTCAGTCAGCAAGAACTTAATCTGGGTACATAAAGAGCCTCTACCCTCATGGAACTTACATTCTAGTGCAGGGAAATAAGCAGTATAAAAACTACATGCCAGCCGATTAATAAAGAAAAATAAGCAAGGAAAGACGGTAAAGAGTGACTGGGGAGAGTTTGCCTAGAGTCAGGGAAGGTCTTTCTGATAAGGGGACACTTGAGCAAAGACATGAAGAAAGTTAGGTGTGTGGATACTGGGAAGGGCAATTCAGACACATGAACAGCAAGTACAGTGACCCTGAGGTGGGAGTGAGCCTAGGAGTCTGAAGAACTACAAGGAAGCCAGTGAGGCCAGAGCAATGAGAGATGGGGAGAGTTGTAAGAACAAGGTCAGACAGGGAGCAGAGCGCAGAGCCCATGGAGCCTTCCAGGCCAAGAAAAGACTTTGCATTTTATTCTGAATGAGATGGGGAGCACCAGGAGGGTTGAGAACTGAAGAAGGACTTGTGTTTTAAATGGTCACTCTGGCTGTTGCATAGGAGACCAGTGAGGAGGCAGTTCCAATAATCCGAGTGAGATGATGGTGGCTTGGACCAGAGTCGCAGTGGAGGAGATAATGAGAAATATTTGCATTCCAGATATATTTTAAAATTAAAAGGATTTTAGGGGCCGGCCACGTGGCACAGTGCTTAAGGGCACATGTTGCACTTCGGTGGCCGGGGGTTCGCCAGTTTGGATCCCGGGTGCGGACATGGCACCACTTGGCACGCCATGCTGTGGTAGGTATCCCACATATAAAGTAGAGGAAGATGGGCACAGATGTGAGCTCAGGGCCAGTCTTCCTCAGCAAAAAGAAGAGGATTGGCAGCAGTTAGCTCAGGGCTAATCTTCCTCTAAATAAATAAGTAAATAAATAAATAAATAAATAAATAAAATTAAAGGATTTTAGTGTAGAGTGTGAAAGAAATTGATTGAGTCCAAGGATGAAGTTTCTGGCTTGAGCAACAGGACAATGGAGTTGCCACTTACTGAACTGGGGAAGATTTGGGAGCAAATGGGTTTGGGGAGTTAGCAGACACTGTTGATGCCCTGTCCTGCCTCCCGTAGGCCTACTTCTGAATTTGGAACTTGGTGGACAGTTCCTCCCTCATCCCTCTATTTCTCTGTCTCGGGGATTTCTCCATTGTGGAGAATTATTCAGCCTGGCTGTAGAGCAGCCTGGAAGTACTGGGAACCTAGATCCCCCAGGGATCTCTCTACCGGTAGGAATGGGGAGGGAGTTATTGGATAAATAACCCAGCTTCTCTCTTCCTGGGTGGGACAACTCTGAGATGCCTTCTACAAGATTCCTCCCACGGTATCCAGCAGGACTGAGCTTCAATTGCCCACAGTAGTAACTTGTTCCTTAAAACACCCTTTATTAACTTTTCTCCCTTCTTTCTTGCTTCCCCTATTTCTTTGCTTGTACTTCCTGGGCTAACCTCTTGTATAAGTTTTCTTTTGCTGTATAACAAACTGCCCCACAATTTGGTGGCTTGAAACAACGGTGATTTTTGCTGATGATTCTGTGGGTCAGCAATTTGGGCTGGACTCAGCTGGCGATTCTTCTGCTGGCCTTGCCTGGGGTCACTTAGTGGCTACAATCGTCTGGTAGCATGACTGAAGCTGGATGGTTTAAGACGACCTCCGCTGATAGATGGTATGTGCTAGCTGTCAGCTGGTTGATTTAAGAGGCTTCAGAGCGAATGGCTCATCTGCTCCCCATGCCCTCTCATCCCCACTAGGCCAGACTGGGACTCTCCACATGGCAGCCTCTAGCGGGCAAAAGTGGAAGCCACAAAGCATCATGAGGCTTGGGGTAAGAAGTCTCACAGCGTCACTTCTACCACATTCTTTTGGTCAAAGCAAGTCACAATGCCAGACCAGATTCAAAGGGTGAAGAGATATATCCCACTTTTGATGGGAGGGATGTCGAGGTCACATTGCAGAGGGGCAGGCATACAGGAAGCAAAGAAAGTTTAGGCCATCTTTGCAAACAGTTGACTCATCTTCCCTACTCCCCTGCTAACCAGGGCTCTAGGACCTTGTCTCAGAGTCGGCTCCCGGAGGAATCTAAACCAAGATGGGGTGGGTGGGAATCAAAGCTCTGGTTTGGACATGCAAAGTTTGAGAAGCTTATTGGAGAAACTCAAGCGGAGATTTTAAATTAGCAGTTGGATACATGAGTCTGGAATTCAGAACAGAGGTCTAGGCGAGAGATACTAAATTTGGGAGTCATTGAAATATATATATATTTTAAAGTCACGGACCTGCCTAAGAGCGTATAGGGAAGGTGTGTAGAGAGAGAAGAGGTGAGAAGACCTAGTCCTGGGCCACTTCAGTGTTGAGAGGTCACGGAGACGGGGAGGGACCAGCAAAGGACACTGAGGAGGAGCAGCCAGTGAGGTCCTGGAGTGACAGTGGTGTCTTGGAGGCCAAGGAAAGAGTGTTTCCAAGAAGAGTGATGAATAGTGACAGGGAAGAGCATTCCATATACTCTCTGTGTAAAGTGACTTGGGGATCATTGTTTCATATGTGTATTTTATATCCATCTTCATTATTTTCTCATTCATTCACTTACAAGAATTATTTTACAACTCAAACATAGAGATAAGTAGAACACTTACCTTTGGGGCAGGTCTGTACACATGGAGTTGAGAAGGAAGCCAAGGAAAGGCAACAGCCGGCAGAGTTCGCACAGTAACAAGTTTAACTAGTCTCTGCAGCCCTGGGGAGATATTCACGATTTTTATAGAGTTTAGTCCTAGATACAGGAGTTACCATGGGCCCTACATGGGAACTAGAGGGTCAAGCCATTTTAAAGTTCATATTTAAAAGAAATTCAACATTATATTGCTTGTTTACAATTAGCTTGTGATCTGGTACTATCCACCCCACTCAAATCCATTCTGTTAATTGCTATTCACACCTCATTTTAAGAATGACAATTTACTTTTCCCCTCCAAGTCTTCCCAAACCTGTTCTTGTCATGCATTCCAGATCTAATAATGCTATAATTTCCTGACTAGTACATTCTATGCCTAAAAGAAAGAAAAAGAGCCCACCTTAAATCCCAGGTTCAGAGCATAGTCAGAAAAATTTTTTCCATTGTCTGTAAACAATCACTAAGGAGCTTTAAATATGTTTACTGTTAATAACTGAAATTCAAACTACTTCTTTTGAAAAGACAAGGCAATTTCCCTTCTCCCTCCTTTCAGTGATTGCCAGATGGTGGCGGCCACACGGCTGCCCTCTTCCTTTACTGAGCTCCTGGGGATCACCTCCCAAATAAACACTTGCACCCAAATCATTGTCTCAGGGTCTGCTTTCGGGGGAGCCCAAACCAAGACAGTGCTCTGAGTACCTGGAACATCTCACAGCCCTGGGCCAGCACTGCCCCTGGCTACAAACGGTGTCACCCAGAGGCAGCTCACCCTTTCATGGCCACGTGTCCCCCAACTTTGGACAGCCCTCTCTGGGGTTGGCCAAGTAGGCATCTGAGTTTGCAATCCTGCACATGTAAGACAAAGGCAAGGGGAGTTATCTCTTTTTTACATTTTCAAGCAGTGAGAGAAGAGACGTAAGGAAGAGACATATTTTACAACTTCAGAACCATAGTACAATCTATGCAGTGCATGTAAATGAAAAAGCTAAATATAAAAACAAAAAAATACTTCCTTTCATAAGTATCTCATAATCCGTCATTTTTTCTTTTTCTAGTTTTTTCTCTTCCTGATTCTTTTTCTTCTCAAGTTGGAGTTTCAAGAGTTTCATTTCAAGAACTAACTTGCTTTGCTTAAATTTTGTTCTCTGGGCTTTTGTTACCTCATTAGCTTGAAAGCTTTCAGGAGGATGTTTAATCCTTCAACTTCAATTAGCAAGTTCTCCTGGAAGAAAGAACACACCACTGTCATTTCTAAATTAATTCCACAACCTTGCAAAATTTGATTTCCATAAAAGCATGTGAAAATCATCTTAGATAATTTAGGCAGCAATTTCATCTGACAAATGTGAGATTTGGTTCTTTCAAATGAAAAGATGTGTAAGGCAAAATTGCTTTCATGTGAAAAATATCACACATGATTTAAACTTTTTAATATCAATTACTCATTAAATCTTTCCCTAGATTTACTTCTGAATAAAATCTGAGAATTAGTATTAAATTTTCAAGACCATTAGCCCTTTATCTGATGTTAAGGCATGGTTAATGGTCCCATTCCCCAGGTGCTTAAAATGAACATTTCACAATGACAGTGATAGAATAATAGGGGGCAACTGCAGTTGCTGCCACATCTGAAGCCTGCTCATTGTAAAGTAATGCCAGATTCTTAAACTGGGACTAAAAAATAATGTGAGTTTTTAAATAGAACCTCAACATGCATTTACGTAAGTGGTGATGGCTCCTTCAAAAGAATGGTTCTCAACATATTTTGAGCCACTGTGGATCAAAACATGCTTAGAACCATCCCTCTGGATTGAAATTGATTTCTGAGCCCAGGGTGTAATCTTTTGAGTGTCTCAATAATGCCAAATATTTCTTCTTTGAGAACAGGTTAATTTTTTTAAAAACTGACAAAAGTAATTTGATAACAAGTCTAGTGAAAAAGATAGGTGATCGAACTAGCAGCGTTGGTTTAGCAAAAAAAGCCTAGCAGTAAAATAATGAGACTGGTGTTCTTGCCTTGCTCAGAAACCGGCTTGGAGACGAGTCCGAAGTACTCAGTGTTTTGGACAGTGCAGTAGCATCATTGGCAGCTGCAGCTCCATGAGGGCAGGGCCTCTGACCATTTTGCCACTTACTGTCCCCCAGTATCTACCATAGTGACTAGTGCACAGTGGGTGCTCAATAAACATTAGTTGAATGAATGAATAAATGTGTAAATTCACAGAGTACTAATTCAAAGTACCTGACATTTCTTGAATGCATATATTTGAAATAGTTGTTTTTAAAAGAAAATAATTTCCATAACTTGCAAATATAACAATAATCTGCTAGTTTATAGGAAATGCTCCAAGCTACTCAATTTTATTTCTTTTGACATAATACCATCTTCTAGATATAGTCCATTTTGCAAAATAAAACATCACTTTCACAGCGATTATGTTGGATGGGGAAGACACCATCACTCCCACTCTAGAGATTAGAACACTGGGATGCTGAACAGTTCAGTAGTTTGTCCAACATTAGTGTTATTCATTAGAATATTTCTGGCCACTAATAATAGAAATCCTAAGTTATACTGACTAATGCCCTTTCCTGACCAAACTACTGGGAAAGGGGAGAGGGTTACTCGTGGTGCTGGGGATGGAGTTGGCTGCTCCTGAGGTACTGGGGCTGTATGCGGCAGGGTGGATGCCTGAGCAAGACTGGAGTGTTACTGGCAAAGAGGAGGGTGGCAGTGGATCCTGGCTAGGTACTGTGTCCCCCACAGTCACCAACTAATAACTGGAAGAATTAGCACTCAAACCCAGCTCTCCTGAAATCACATGTAGTACTTTTGTTTTAAGGGGACATGCTGTAACGAACAGTTCATTTTACAGCAAGTTTTTAGGGATTAATAAATTTTACCCAGAGAATATATTAGCAGTTTTATTCCGGTTGAAAGTTAAATTTGATTTATGTCTTATGTATTTTAATTCAGTTTAATACAGTTCACAAAGAGTTGTGGGGAGGATGCAAATTATACAAGTTTTTGTTTGTTGTTTTGTTTCTTCATTTAAAGTTGCGTCACATTCCTAGAGTCCTTCTGGTAGCACTATTCTAAGTCCCTTATTAACATTATTTAAGAGACTGCAGAATGTATTCCAGTAATTTTTGAAGTGGTGTTATTTAATATTTCCTCAAAGAGAAGAATTAATGTTTCCTAAGTGAGCTTCTACACTAAATCCCCTGAGAAATTCCGGAGTTCAATAAATATCAGATTTAGAATTAGCATCCTTAAGATACATATGATGCCAGTGTGGCAGATATTGCAAGTGGCTTGCCCAGTAGCCATTCTCCCTATTGTCTTTACTCACAGAATTCAATTCTATTCTGAGCATAGAGTGTCCAGTTAAAATATTGAACTCTCAGCCTCTCTTGAAGTTGTGGGTACCATATAACATGGTTCTAGCCAATTCTCAATTCTGTAAACAGTGGCTTGTGGTAGCTTCTGGGGACATGACCATTGCCCATCCCCTCTTCTTGCTGCCTGACCCATGGATATGATGCTTGCCACTATGAAGATGAAAGAAATATCCTAAAGATGGAGAACCAGGGAGCTAGGAGGAACCAGGGCCCTTGATGACTTCTTTGAACAGCTGCAGCAGACTGGACTGCCCACCTTTCAACTCTTACCATGGGAAAAAGAAATCCCTATTTGGTAAAGCCACTACAGTTAGATTTCTGTTTACATGCATCCAGATGCAATGCCTGACTGACACCTTCAGCATTTCCATTTTTTTGCATTCTTTAAAGCTCCAATAGGACCATTACTACAAAAAATCCTCCCCTGCCTAATCTGCTGATTTTTTTTGCGGGGTGAGGAGGATTTGCCCTGAACTAACATCTCTTGCCAATCTTCCTCTTTTTTCTGCTTGAGGAAGTTTAGCCCTGAGCTAACATCTATGCTAATCCTCCTCTATCTTTTGTATATGGGATGCCTCCACAGCATGGCTGATGAGTGGAGTAGGTCTACACCTGGGATTCTAACTTTAGCCACTCGGCCACAGGGCAGCCCCTACCTTACTGAATACAATTCATTCTTCTATGACGTGTGTTTCTGTGCCAACAGTTAGCTCATATGCAACTGGCGTATAGGGTAATGAGGACAGCATTACACAGAAGTCACATTTGTTTATATGCTATTTTTCACAGCATATTAATATTTCAAAGCAACATATGAAGGTCTTAAGGGAAACCTGAAAATCCTGCAGAAATGCCTGCCTTTTGTGCAAGCGTTAGCAATTTAGTGACTTTAAGAACCACCAATCTTTCTGCAATGTTAAGCTATCTGGCAAGAGGCAACTGAAGGGCAGCTGGAGAAGCTGGGCATACATATGATTCATTTAGCTCCAGAAAACATTTTTCCTCCAGCAAAGATGATCTCTAATTCTGTCATGTTTCTACATCTCAAGGAGGCAGTGTGAGCTGCAGGATTGGCGCTGTAAAAGCTGACAGGCGATGAAGGTGGGTGCAGCTGCACGTCCAGATTGAACGTGCTAATATTTTTAGCAGAATTATTATTGTTTTTATTAGTTCTCTGGTTACAACATTGCATAGAATTTAAGAAGTTTGCACCAGGTCTATTTTCCCCCTAAGTCTAGTTGATTTTAGGGCGTGATTTTGTAAAATTCAATTTTTAAGAAAGGAATGCATATATCCACTGAAGCAGAAATGTCTGATTCTTAGAAACAGATATTAACCCTTGCCAGGTGCCACTAATAGTCTGGGTATATAAAAAAATCGTCTCATTAGAACTTAAAAAGAGGCAGTGAGCAAAGGAAATAATACTATGACATGAATAGCATAGCCACAGAGAAAAGTCTTGTGCATAGTAGTGTTTTCTATATAAAGAAAATCATATTCACACCTTTGCAAGTAACCATATGTTCTATTTACAATGAATTCTGGAAACAAATAACCCCACAGAGCAAGTCTTTTCGAGTTCCTGTCTCCCTAAATAGTCTCTAAACAAAGCAACCAAACCTGGGCTGAGCAGAATCTCTCCTGCACCTCTACTGTGTCAGGATGAACAACAACACTACTTGTTTAAAGACAATGCCGCTAACAGTCTGTGGAAGTCCAAGCTCCACTCCCACTAAAAGAGACCACCTAACACCATCCACCCATAAAACCAAACAACTCACTGAAAAATGAGAGCCTGGAAGAAGAAAAGCGTGAGAAGAAAGGCAGATATGTGAAACCTCCCTTTTTCTTTTAACTAGATAAAGTTTAGAAAATGTATGATCACTTATAAATTATTTGTAGAGAACTAGATATAATTTTTTCCCCTCCTGTTTCAGCCAAGTCCTAACCAAAAAGGTCCCTTGTGATCTGGCTCCTGCCCTGCCCATGCCCACCTCTCTGATCTAATTTCCCATAGTTCCACTGTTACACATTCCACTCCAAAGCCATGCTGGCCTTTTTGCCGTTCCTCCTGTTCCTCCAATACACCAAGCCCTTTGCCAACACAGGGTCTTTGCATATGCCTTTCCCTCTGCCTGGAACACTCTTTCCCCAGATAGTCACCAGACTTGCTCTTTCACCTCATTCAGTCCTCTGTTCAAGTGTCACCTCCTCAGAGAAGCCATTCCTAACCCCCACATCTAAAATGGTGCCACCTTGCATTCCCAGTCTCTACCCCCTTACTCCGTTTTTCCCACATAGCATTCTTCATTACTAGACATTGTGTAATATACTTATTTGCTTATTTATTGTCTCTCCTCCACTAGAAGGTAAGCTCCACAAGTGCAGAAGTGTTGTCCATTTTGTTCACTGCTGGATCCTAGGGTCGAGAAGAGTGGCTACCATATATCATTCAAAACTATTTACAGAGCATCTGCCACGTGGCAGGCACTGTTCTAGAGGCTGAGTACAGTAGTGAACAAAACAGAAAAATCTCTGCCCAATGGAGCTTACGTGTTAGTGACATATAGTAGGTGTTTGATAAATACTCGTTGAACGAATTCTCAGCATTATAACCAAAATCCACTAAAATAAACATTTTGCTCCACTAGCTCATTATAATGGATGTTAATAAAACTCTAGTTGTATTAGTTTCCTGTGGCTGTGTAACAAATTACCACCAACTGAGTGGCTCAAAACGACAGAAACGTATTCTCTCATAGTTCTGGAGGCCAGACGTACGAAACCAGTAACATGGGGCCAAATTCAAGGGGTCAGCAG